GAAGAATACAAGGAGGTTGAGCTATCTCCCTATGATAAGCTCTATTTTCCAAAGAGGGTCATCACCAAAGCTCAAAAGAAGGTGATCTCCAAGTTTAGGAAATAGTTGAGTGATGTTGGGGTCCAACTTCCAAAGATGTCAAACATGCAAGAAGCTTGTGACCAAATGATCCTCATACAAGACATCTTGGCTCACAAAGAACATGTTGCAAAGCTTCTTGACATCTGTTCCTCTAGTTGGACCCTAAACCTCCACCAAAGTCTCTTCCCAAGTTTGAAGATCAAGGGAAGTTCATATTACCTTGCTCTCTTGGTGATTTCAAAGTAGATGATGCTCTTGTGGATAGTGGAGTATGTGTGAATGTGATTGTGACAACCTGTCCACTGGAAGCTCACAATGCTGCAGCGCATCGACCCTAACCCCTCCCATGTGAGTCCTCACTGACTCCCCCCATGTAGGTTATTGATGCGCTTGGCACTACTCGAACCCAAGACCTCACCCTTTAACAACCCTTCCAATGAACAAGCTGTCACCAATTGACTCCCCTCACCGTGGGAGGAACTGCCTCCACATCCACCGGTAGGTTATTGATGCGCTTGGCGTTACTCGAACCAAAGACCTCCACCCTTCAACAACTCTCCACAAGATAAGCTGTCACCAATTGATCTGCAGTATAATTGGTGACAGCTTATCTTGTGGAGAGTTGTTAAAGGGTGGAGGTCTTGGGTTCGAATAATGCCAAGCACATCAATAACCTACCGGTGGATGTGGAGGCAGTCCCTCGCACGGTGAGGGGTTAGGGTCGGTGCGATGCAGCGCTTGTGAGCCACATGATGGGTTGTCACCGTGATATCCTTGGAGATGGTGAAGAGCTTAGGGATCAAAGGCATGAAGCCAAACAACTCCCACCTCATGTTTGGAGACTCTTCTTCAACAACACCTATTGGTTTCATCAAGGACTTCCCTCTGAAGATTAGGTCTTGCACCATTCCCATAGACCTCACTATTCTTGATATGGCAAGCAATATGAGAATGCCCTTACTCTTAGGCACGCCCTTCCTTGCTACTGTGGCTTGCATTGACTTCCCAAACAAGAGGGTGGTCCTCCACAATATCAACAAGGATGTCTCCTATCCAATCAAGTCACCAATTCTGAATGGAGGTTATTGTGGAACAATTTTGAAAGATGCATTGGTTGTTAAGGAAGAATTTCTTGGTCAAGGTTCCTCAAAGAAGAGCTGTGTAGAGCACTTGGGAGATGCTACCAAGGAGGAGGTGAGTGAAGCTACTGAGGCTAGTCAATCAAAGAAGAAGATAAAAGCTCCTCCATCTGCAAAGCTTGCCAAGATGTAACACACTCTCACACTCCACCCTTTAAAGCTAAAAGATGGAGCCATTGAGTATAAAATCAAGTGCAAGGGAAGGTTCAAGCCATTCTCAAGCGCCAGGGCCATTATCTCTCCTATACTCTAAGATGATTCACTCAAGCTCCAAGAGCTCCTTACACATGTCCTCACCATCACCCTTGAAGGTGGGAAGGATCCTCCTTCTCAATAGGTAAACAGAGGTAGTCAAGTTAAGAGACTTTAAACAAGTTCACTTGGGAGGAATTCTCATGATTATTTTTGTATATATTTCTTCTCTTATGTGTTGAATAAGGTCAAGACCAAGTTTGGGGGTGCCCTCTCATATGTCCAAAGGCCATGCCCAAAGCCCTATGACCAAAACACTTCATACAACCCCAAGGTAAGTTACACTCCACCCATATAAATAATTAGTGTTCATGTCTATATCTTTCTCTTAGACTTCTTCTTTGAGCTTACTCTCACACAAGGGACTGTGAAATAAGTTTGAGGAAGAGTCTACTATTTCATATTCTTGTGTGTTTCATGTCATGAGTCTCATGCATTGCATTGTACATACATGTATGCATAGAAAAATCCAAAAAAAAACTGAAAAAATCTAAAAAGAAACAAAAACAAGCATTTAGGTTGCATCATTTGCATTTTAGGATTGAGTCTAGAAGCTTTTAGATTGTATTCATGCATTGAGAGCTTACCTAATAAGGAAACACATGCTTAGAACTCAAAATTACACCCTAGCTGATCATAGCAAGTAGCCTAAGCATCTCTTGAAAAGCTTGCATGCTTCGAGCGTTGAAAACTCTTCTTGAAACTTGTTGCTTGTGTGAGATTGACATTCTCCTTTAAACCAACTCCAAATGAACTTAAAGCTGAATGAATTTAATCCTTCTTGCTTGTGGGAACTTGCATACTTGATCATGGGTCATACACATTTGGGTTTTATTTATCCTTCGTACCACTCTTTATAAAACCCAATGGCACTCCTTACCTTTGAACCCTTACCATTCTTTGAAGCCTAAATCATTTTTCTTGTGTGAGGTCTCTTTTGATAGCTTGTAATGTGCAAAAACTTGAGAGTATTAGGGGCGACATTGGTTGTTCTTATCTCAGGCTAACTATAGGACCTCTTGAGAGCTAGCAATTAGGATGGGAAGTTGGGTATTGTGATGCAAAAGAGTTATCTTGGGTCTTGGGGTGTTAGATGAGTGAAAAGAATGAGCCAAAGAAAAGAAAACCATTAGGGATCAAAAGAAAAAGAAAGAAAAGCTCTAGAGTCTTAAAAATAAGAAACCCCTTTGCTTATAAAAAAAGAAAGAAAGAGAAGAGTCTAGAAAAGACTTGAGGATAATTAAAAAAAGAAAATAAAAAAATAGAGCTTAAGTAAAAAGTGAAAGAAAAAGTCCCTAGTTGGTTCAAAAGAAAGAAAAGAGAAATAGTTCATTGATGAGTGAAAAAGGAGAGTGATTTTAATATTTTGGGGATGAATGGGTTTGAGATTTACACCAAGGAAAATGGTAGAGTTTAAAGATGTCTAGGAAAAGGGTAAATTGATAAGAACAAGCAATGCATGCATAAGTTACTCCTTTTCTTAGATAGATTTTGCATAATGATCAAGCTCCTATTTTTTTTTGTGTAAGCCACTAAAAATAAATGTATTGAAACTCCTCTTCTATTCTCATTTAGCCATTTCACTTACCAAACCAAATGAATGAGATCAAGTTTCCATTTGCAAGAACTCACCTTATTAGCTTATGCTTAATTGAATGTGAGGGTTGTTTGAAGAGAATTGTTGATTGGTGATCCACAAATTGTCTAAAAGAAAGAGTCTTACTAGGCCTTGAGAAGATAGAGTGTACTAATTGAGATGGCTTATGCTATAAATTATGTTTGTCTAGGAAGTGGTGTTGAGTATAAGAAGTGTATCCTTTGGTTTTGAGTTCTTATTTTAATTTCTCTCTCTTTGATCTTAATTAATTACTTGAGGACAAGTAAATGAGTAGTTTGGGGGAGTTGATATCTTGCATATTTACATGTTTTTAGCTTTCATAACTTGTACATTTTTGATCAGATAGATTAGGAATTAGGCATCTTTAGGTCCATATTGCATTCATTTGTCCAAATCAGTGCTGGAGTATGATGTGGAGTGTTTTCAGAAGTTTTGGAGCTTTGAGAACCAAAAATAAGTGAAGAATGAAATTTGGCCAAGACAATACATTAAATTCAAGAAGATGGTCGAGACATCCGGGTTGAGGCACCCGAGTTAGCTTACCCGCTCGCCCATGTGTGAAGAGAAGCTGGTCGAGTCACCCGGGTCGTGCCACCCGGGTTAGGAGGACCGCTCGTCCAAGACTTGAAGAGGAACAAGAGGAGTCACCCGGGTCGTGCCACCCGGGTTAGGAAGCCCGCTCGCCCAAACTTGAAGAAGAACCGGAGGAGTTACCTGGGTCGTGCCACCCGGGTTAGGAAGCCCACGCGCCCAAACTTGAAGAAGAACCGGAGGAGTTACCCGGTTCGTGCCACCCGAGTTGGACGAGTGGTCCTTACCTGGGTGTGAGCTTTGCTTTGGTCAAAAATTAAGTATTCCTAAGGACCTTTTGGTCATTTTACCTTGTTATTTTTAGGTTTTTTAAGCCATTATAATTACTCTTCTAATCCCAAAGTTGGGACTTATCTCCATTTCTCTAAAAATACATTTGGGAAAGTTAAATCTTTGATTAATCTAATCTTTGTTTCTTGAGTAAATTGAGTCTTTCTCTTCTCCTAATCAATGATTAGTCTTCTATCCATGGTTTAAGATTAAACATGAAGATGATTGAGTAGACTCTTTTGAGCTTATGGATTAAGGTGATTAGGCTGATTAAGTGATGATCTAGGGTGATTAGTGTTAGATCCTTCTTATTATATGCTTAATACTTGATCCCAATGCTAGATTAAGAATAACCCTTCTATTCTAGATCATTAGACATTTCCTGACCACAAGGTGTTTGTGAAAATGTCTGAACCAAAGTATTAATGCTTTTTGCTTACATAGCCAAGGACACTTGATGCTAGGGATGCTTAGATAGTTATTAGACTTGTTCTCAATGCTTGATTGATTGCTTTAGACCAAGTACACTTGATGTTTAGAGATTGATAGCAAATGAGCTTTTACCTTGACAAAAGACTAGTTTAGGATTGTGTTTAGACTTATAGTATATGATTGATTGTTTGAAACATCACCCTAGAGAGTAGCTTGTCACCCAAAATCAATAACCCCATCCATATGCTCTTCTATCTCATTGAAGAAAAGCTTAGTTATTCTTGTTTACTTACATGCTTACTACTAGTTACTCTATAAAACAAACTTCTTGATTGCATTTAGATTTAGCAATGTTTTGCATTCTCTTTGTTCAATAGCTCTCAGGATTGGATTGACACTCTATTTATCTTACTGCATTGATTTTCTCTGAGGGCGTAAAAACTTTTATCAACCATATAAACCCAAACAGTTTCAAATACCAAAAATCTGTGGTTTCTACACTTGTCTATTGATCTAATCCTTTACACAGTCTTCTACACTTTTGTTTGATTAATGTTTAATCTAAAACAACGATATGAACAATCAAAGTGATGCATAAAAATAAGATTCTAAGGTTCTCAAGAATCATCATCCGGAGAGTCATCAATGGGATGCCAGAATCTATTATAAAACCACATGGTGTCACCATTCACAGCACAGCCATCCTGGTTCCTGTGCCAACCATAATAAGCATGCGTCCTGTTCTTTATCGAGAATATCGCGTGTCCGAAGCTTGCTTCTCTGAAGGCAGAGTACTTAGGCTGAGGTTCAGTCATTCTGCATAAACCATATCAGTCGTTCAAAATCCTCATACAGAATAGTTTGCAATGATGAGACAACTTAATTTAAAGCTTACTTGGTAGACAATCCTTCATGATTGCCTCCATCACCAATGGTGATGTAGATGGGAGCAGATTGATCCTTGACTGGAGTACAAATTCCATTAACCACATTGTACGCAATATTGGATATACGTTCCTGGTTTCACAATAGCTCAAAATATAGTTTAAAAAGAGACATGATGAGCTAAACATTTATTGATGTCTTACTGATCTTTCATAGCCGTGGACGTGACCAGCAAAAACAACATCTACTTTGTACTTTACGAACCACGGCTCATACATCACTCTCATGGTTTCACCTTCCATGTAATGGTAATCATAGCTGTTGTACCACGGCGAATGCATCAAAACCATCAACCATGGCGTTTCCGTTCTGTTAACCTTGGGGAATTCTTGTTCGAGCCACTGATATTGCGGCGTGTATTTACCTGACCAAGAAAATATGGACAATTTTAAGAATATCCCACAAAAATGTTCAAGATTCTTACGCTGCATTTACCGTATGCTGAATATGAAGCTAGCACGATTATGTAAGCCGGTCCTCTCTTTATTGAGTACCAGAATGGTTCTGTGCTGCCTGATGATTGATGAGGAGTACGGTATCTATTCTTGAATGGCTTAAATGGCTTGGTTTCTCCCTGCAAAACATATAAGAACTATTAGCCTCTGTCTAATACAGAGAAGACGAAGCAACAAGCATTACAATCTGTGGCGCAAAATCGAGTTCATGGTTTCCTACGGTCCAAATCCAGGGCTGATAGGCTGTGCTTCTTTCAATAAATCTTCCCCAAGTGTCCCATCTATTATTGTCATGGTTCGGGTATGTGTCAGCGTATGAGAAATCCCCAACAAACAAAACTGTTTGCCCTATCAACGGGTTATTCTCGTAATGCGTTAAGGTTATGTTAGAGTCAAAACTTTGCCCAAGATCTCCTGAAAAACAAAATTTTGCAGCTCAAGTTCAAGTCCACGGGAGGCTATTAATTTCATGTATGCTAAAACCATGAATATGCTTTCAGGACACAGTTACCAATGAGACCAAACGTGTAGGGAATGTCAGGACCAGCTTTAGGAGGAGTGAAGAACCAGAACTTTCGTTCTGTTTTTCCCACACCTACCATGTAGTAGTACTTGGTGTCATACTGAAACAAGAGAACCAAAAAATCAGATACAAAACAATTGAAAAGATTGAGATAATGATGGACCTCTAAGTTTTTGATGGTGCAATGATGGATGTGACCAGACGTATAGTTGTAGAATTTGTACGTCTTGGATTTGCCATGAGCTTTTAGCATTTTGCAGCTATGTTCTTTCCAGTAAAGAACCGTGTTAGATCCTGATCCTTTTTGTGTCACCCAAGACACTATCACTGCCTTCCCTTCTAAGTCTCCTTGTGTAATATGCACCTTTTTGTGTGGAAAACACCAAATAAAAACTCCAGTTAAGATGATCAGTTGCTTAACAAAGAAAAGAAAAGTTTGCATAGCTATTGATAAACTCTCAATAAACAAAGTTTGATTTATTTAAGAACATCCAATAAATAGCTTTTTCTTCATTAGAACAAGATAAAAAAAGACAAAAGTGATGATATCATAATAAAACTCATAAACGGTTGTTGATTATATAGAGGAAAGGTATACGCACCTGTTGAGGTGCATTACAACCAGGAGGAACACGAAATACATCACTATCGAGTGGCATATCAGCCGTTGCCTCTAACCTCCTGACATAACTACTTGTTGTGCCACCATGACAGAACAGCACTAAGCTGTCTAGAACCAAACACAAGAAAAGAAGAACATAATATCGGTCTAATCCTTCGAGCCGACCCATTTTCACAGGTTCCTTATCTTTTTTTCTTTTTCTAGTGCGCAGATTATCTTGTATGAAGAAAGTTCCTCTGAAGAGCTATTCCTATAAAGTCCGAGAAGTTTCCTAATGAAGCCGGTCCTGATGGGGAGGCATATCAAGCATCTTCCATCACCCTCCCCAAAAAAAAAAGAAAAAAAGCCTTTCTTTTATATAAAATTGCTAATGTATCTTTTATTCTAATTAATATTTATGAATAAAATATTTTTAAAAGGCCTATTTGTACGTAGATAGCTTCTGGTCTTTAAAATGTCAGGGTGGGCATGATATGCATGTGTTGTCTTGCGCAACGGAATATGAACATTATTATATTTCCTTGATTACCTTTTTTTTTTTTACTAATATACCCAGATAGCATGTTAACGGTTGGAAGATTTTACCTTCCACGAATCAATGCCCTTTTTTCTGTTGTCTTCTGTTTATTTATTTCCAATGTTGAAAAAACTACTATGCGGCCATTATGCGTTTTGTATGAGATTATTGATTAAGTTAGCATCTAAACCGATTTTTGAGCATCTAAATCAAATTTGACTGATCAGTTTAAAAATACAGTTCGCTTAAATCCTATTTATCGACTAAGCGGACACCTAAGTGCCGTCGAAACTGAATTTTAGAAGACTGTTATTTCTGTTAATTTTTATCATCATCTATTTATGTTAATTATTTTATTATCATTTATCGCGATTTGTTTGAACAACTAAATGGATTTTTGAGGTTGGTACGAAAAAAGAAATTAGGAGTAGTTAATTAAAAACCTAATTTCTCTCTCAAAGATGAGATCCATGTACTTCTTCCAATTTTTTGATATTCCGCCTCTTTCGGTGGTTTGGTCTTGCCACCACCGGAGAAAGATCTTTGTTATTTTTCTACTTTCATGTTTTTCTGTTCTTTTTAAAAGCGTAGCTTTTGGGGTTATGAGTCCTCGGTGGTATGGCTTTTCAGTGGTCTGCATATAATTCTTTTTCATGTGGCGTGTTTGGAGTTGTGTCGCTATCCTCCTTATGAATCTCTGGCTGTTTCTTCCACATGCACTTTTTTTTTTCTATGGTAGCTGTGGGTGATGGGTACTCCATCGAAGCTTAGTTTAATTTAGAGATGTGTAGCAGGTTGTTAATTCTCTTAGTATGGACCTTAAAGCTGAAGTTTCTAGTTCTACGGTTCATGTGTTCTCTGCGATTTCATATCGTTCTGATTCTTGTAGGACCCTAGTTTAGCTCATATCAGTGTCTTTTCTGTGGTGAGTGGATTTTTTTGTTCATAGAGTTGGGTTGGGGTATCTTATTGGCATAGTTGGCGTAGTTCTCTGATTCGTGGTGCTTAAAGGCATCTCCAAAATTTTCGGTGTCGCTGTCGTAACTCTATTACTGATAGTAGCGATGAGGAACTTATGCGATCTCTCTCCAAGTATTGTCGTCTTTTTGGGGTTGTGTTTCGCCCTTGCATCAGTTCCATCCGGCTTGAGTCAATGTGCATTGTGTTGGGATTGAGAAAACCCATGTCCAACTCTTTATTGTCCGATCAGTACGATATTGTCCATTTTGGACTTATGAGGCAAGCACACATGGATTTACTTTTGGATTCATTCCCAGAAGACCTCGTACCAGTTAGAGTTTGACATCACTTTATATACAAGACACTCCTTGTCTAAATTTCCAATGTGGATCTTTGTTTGATATCTCACATTCTCCCCCACAAACTAAGGACCACATTCATTTTGTGCCCCCACAACTGCATTTCCAGGATCTTCTGACTTGATCACTACCACATATCTCGCATTCATATCTCAAAAGGTGTTTTGGTCTTCTTGCAGATTTCTTGTCAACCTGCTCTGCTACCAATTGTTAGGATTGTGTGAGCCTATGTTTAACTCTTTATATATTAGACAGCCTTGTCTAAATTTTCAATGTGGGAATTTGTTTGATATCTCATGTTCTCCCCCTCAGGACAACATTCATCTTGTGTGTTTTTCCTTCAACAAATCATCTTGGCACCACCTTGTACCAGTAATCGTAGAGTTTCCTTTGAGAATATCTCAACCACAATATCACAAGTTCCATGATCTTCTAACTAATTTCTGCCACAGACCTCCTCTTCTGGCTTGAAATGTCTCATTCCTATTCGAAGGGTATTTTGGTCTTTTTACAGATTTTTACCAAACCTGACTCTGATACCAATTTTTGAGCTTGTGAAGACCCATTTCCAACTCTGTATTGCCCGATTAGTACGACATTGTCTATTTTGACCCTAAGAAGCTGGTCCGTATGAATATTCTTTTGGTTTCCTTCCCAAAAGGTCTCGTTCTAATTAGAGTTGGACATCTCTTTATATATTAGATACTCATTGTCTAAAATTCCAATGTGGGACTTTGTTTGATATCTCACACATGGTTTGTTGTTACTTCAAGTGATGAAGAAATTATGTTTAAGAGGAGCGATTTCTCTTGCTATTGGTGCAATGGTTCGGTCATGGTGTCAATCGTCGCTAGTCTCCGGGTTCCTGAATGAGTTTCTCCTACTTCAACTAACATTTGGAGCTCCAGTTCATATTTCAGAATTCCCAAGGTTAAATCATTTCTCTTCTCTTCTTCTTGGGGTTTTTGATCTTGGTGACCTTTTAATGGTTTGCACAATATAAAAAAATGAAGCTTGCATTTCTAATCTTAATACAATTCAGTTCTGACTGGGAAGAGCTGCAAAGCTAACATTTTAGTGATTCTCAATTGAGTTGTGTTTCATCTCAATGAAAACCCCTTGCATTCAGAAAGATTGAGGTATATTACATTATCGTTTTTGAGTGGTACCTACTATTATCACTTTTGTCTTCAATAGTTAATGGTTTTCCCTCTTTGTACCGGTGTATGTCTGTAGTAATTATTTTTCTATAACTATGTACGACATTTTTGACTAGGAACTTATATTAGTGTTGATCCCTCTAAAATTAATGTAAGATTTTAATATATTTTTCTTGGGAAAATAAACTTACCAAAATAAGCTAAAAAGGCTTCAAATTTTAGCTAAGCCAAAAATATCTCAAATGTTTAAATTTTCCCCGAATAATGCCATTTATGTTGACTTGATATTTTTAAACATCACAACGTCAACTGTTAGTTTGCCTTAAACTCCCATTAATTAATAAACCTGTTGTAACATCCAAAGTTGTGGTATATGGAAACTCTTAAGATGATTGATTTGGCTACCTATGTCACCAAAGTGCACTTAGCTTTTTGGGAGTACGTCTAGAGAGAACTCCAGAGTTAAGCGTGCTTGAGCTGGAGTAGTCAAAGGATGGGTGACCTATCTGGAAGTAATTCGCAATACCGTGTAAGTGAGTCCAAAGCACGGGGAAAGGTCATGTGGTGATTGCAGGTTCAGTAAACATCACTCTCGAGCCTTGGAAATTAACAGACCGACTGCTGGAACGGGATGGAGCCCACGGGAGAGTGTGCGTGGATGGCCCATTAGCCGTGGGTGGTCGGAGCATTATACCTGTGTGTTTACTATATCATTAAAAAAAAGAAACTCATCGTCTTCTCTTCTCCTCCATCGACCAAAACCCTAATTCCATAATTCATTCACCTAAATCCCTAGCTTGTTACAGACGAATAAAGTGAAAATCTTGACTATTTGAATAAAATAGATGGAGAGACCGAAGAAGCTTACTCATATACGTTGTAAAAAGAAGGCTGGGACGAGCCAAAGAATTGAAGGACACAAAGAAGTGCACGATGCAGGTAGAGGTCATGAGCTTGAGAAAATCACCGCAGATGAGAGACGCAATGAACCTGGATCGAACACCAAGAGAGACCATCAGGATGAGGATGTCAACCGAGATGAGGGATAAGGATATGGTGGTGATAACGAAGAGAATGAAGTTCAAGAAAATCAAGTAGAAGAGGATGGAAATAATGGATTAGGCATGGAAGAAGAGAACTGTGACGATTTATCACAGTATTCTAGAGATAGCCCGAGAGAAGAAGAGAATGCAAGTGGTGGAGAGAGTGGTGATGATATTTGGGACGATGAGAAGATATCAGATCAAATTGTCTTCTGACGAAGACAAAGAGGGAGTCGGATGAAGAGAGTTGTTTTCCATTGTGTTGGCATTAAAGAACTTTTGGCATTGGGGAAGACATTTGCTTGTGCAGCAGATTCCAAGTTGGCATTATTAAGGTACTCTCTGAAGACACATTATAACATTAAAATGTACAAGTCTACATCACAGAAGATGGGTGTGAGATGCTTTGATGTTGAGTTGAGTTGTCCTTGGAGGATTTACTGTTTTTACAAACCAAAGAGGCACAAGATGCAAGTGAAAATCTATATCAATGAGCATAATTGTATGAGATTAGACTACTCAAAGATGCTTATGAATCATCAATTGCCTAGCTATTTGTGGATATGTTAAGGATTAACAGGAAGTTTACGAAAAAGAAGATGGCTGAAGAGATCAAAAGAGAGTACAATTTGATTGTCAGAGAGGAACAATGTGCCAAAGTGAAGTCTAAGCTATTACAACAGAAAAAAAAAAAGCCATGAAGTGCATTTCTCACATATATGGGATTATAAAGCTGAGATAAAAAGGTCCCATCAGTATACAACAATGGTGACTAAGAATATTCCTGGTGCTACTCCAGGAAGCAAGCAAAGGTTTGACAGGTTATATGCTTGTTTCACATCTCAGAGAAAATCTTGGATAAAATCATGTAAGCTTATCATAGGGTTAGATGGTGCATTCTTGAAGTGGGATATTAAAGATAATCTACTAGCTGTTGTAGGAAGAGATGGAAACAACATGATTGTGTCAATTACTTGGGCTGTTGTTGAGATTGAAAATAATGTGAACTGGGAATGGTTTGTGAAGATTTTGAAATCAGATTTAGAATTAAAAGGAGCAAATAACAACACTAATATCTGACAAGCAAAAGGTTTGTCCTGTGTTTATTTATGCCTATATTTCTTTTAGGT